GGGGGCCGGCCGCCGCCGAGGCTGGGACAAAGCGCCGGATGGGGCGGGAGACGGGACCCGGCCCACAGGAGGCTCCGGGCGCCTGGCTTGCTCCGCGCGGGGCGTGCGCGGCGGCTCGGACGCGAAAGACTGGCCAGCTGCACGGCCGCCTCCCGCTGCGCGCTGCCGGGAGCGCCGGGTGGAGGGGCTCGCCCCTTCCCCACCTCAGGCCCCCATCGGAGTCCTTTTGCTCCCCACCATTTCCACACGAAATTCCGTGTGGGGTTGGGCTGGGTAAGCACTTCCTCTCGGCCTTGCAGCTCGGCTGGTGGGTCTGCGTCCAGGACTTTGCCTTTGGGCCTGTTCACAAAGCATGTAAAAGTTGAATTTAATGTGATTGAACTCCTTGGGCTTAAATGCACGGAGACTTCCCCCTAGTCCTCTGTGCTCTTTCCCCTTCCTCATTCTTTCCACATCCCTCCTCTTAACTTAGTTTTAGATTCTTCTTTGAAAGTGACTTCTCAGTCTCCCTGTGGAATTTTTCTGCAGTTATTGTTTGTTGCAATGGGAAGTGCAGCTCAGCCGTGGACAGGAAAGTAACATGATTACTCAGGTATCTTGGGTTAATCTTCTTTTTATGTCCTAACAGTTGCAAGTACGGCAATTCCGTTTTAGTTAAGATTTAGAAATATGTAAAGGAGTAATCTTTCAGTTAGTAAGGAGTGTATCTTAAATGTTTAATTCTGATTGTCTCACGCATGGACTTACTTAGTAATCAAATCAGTTCATATTACTTGTCTTGAATGTTCCTTGTTTTCTACAAGCAACATTAGTTTTGTTTTATTTTGTTTTTAATGGCTTTATTGAGATACAATTTACATTCCATACAATATACCCATTTAAAGTATACAATTCACGGTTTTTCATATGTTCATAGACTTGTGCAGACACCACCACTGTCTGTTTCAGAACAGTTTCCTCACCTCAGATCCCTGTACCCGTAAGTCACTCCCCGTTTTCCCCCTGCCTCAGACCTAGGCAACTAATCTACTTTCTGCCTAAATAGATTTGTCAGTTATGGACATATGATGTAAATGGGGCCATAGTGACTGGCTTCTTTCACTTAGCATAATCTTTTCAGCATTCATCCATGAGTGTATCAGTATTCCTTTTTATGGGCAAATAATATACTATTCCACATTTTATGTATACATTCATCAATGATGGACATTTGATTGTTTTCACTTTTTAGTTATTATGAATAATGCTGACATGAACATTTTTGTACAAGTTTTTGTGTGAACATATGTTATTTTGGGGGGAAAATGGAATTGCTGGGTCATGTGGCAACTCTATGTTTAACAGTTGGAGGAATTGCCAAACCATTTTCCAGAGTAGTTGTAGCATTTTACAATCCCACCAGCAATATCTGAGAGTTCTAATTTCCCCACATGCTCACCAACACGTTATGTCTTTAAAAAAAAAAAAAAAGTATATATATATATATATATATATATATATAATAGGTGGATGTGAAGTGGTATATCACTATGATTTTGGATTGCATTTCTCTGATGGCTAATGATGTTGAATATCTTTTCATATGTTTATTGCCAGTTTATTATTTGGAGAAATGTCTGTTTAGCTTCATTGCCCATTTTTAAATCGGGTTATTTGTCTTTTTATTATTGAGTTGTAAGAGTTCTTTTTATATTATGGATACACATTTTTTTTATTAGATATTTGATTTGCAGATATTTTCTCCTGTTCTGTGGGCTGTCTTTTCATTTTCTTGATGTTGTCCTTTGAAGCACACAGAAGTTTTTAGGTTTTGGTGAATAAGTTGAAGTCCAACTTGTTTTTTCCATCACTTGTGCTTTTGTTGTAACTAAGAAGCCTTTGCCTAACCCGAGTTACTCCTGTATTTTCTTGTAGAGGTTATAATATAGTTTTACTCTTCTGTTTAGGTCTTTGATCCATTTGAAGTTAACTTTTGTGTATGGTTTAAGGAGAAACTTCATTCTTCTGCATATGGATATCCAGTTGTCCCAGCACCATTTGTTGAAAAGGCTCTTCTTTCCCCATTGGATTGTGGCACCCCTTGTCAAACATCAGTTGACCATGATGTATGAGTTTATTTCTGGATTTTCAATATTATTTCATTGTCTATCTTTATGCCAGCCAGTACCGCACTGTTTTTACTACTATAGTTTTGTGTAGTAAGTTTGGAATGGCTAAGTGTGAGTCCTCCATCTTTTTTCTTCTTTTTTAAGATTATTTTGGCTATTTTGGGTTCTTTGGGTTTCCATGTGAATTTTCAGATTAGCCTGCCATCTTTAGACATTAGGTTTTACAGTGGCAATTTATGAAAACTTTCATAAAGGTCATTTAAAATTGATGTTCTTATAAATGTTTTGCATATATTTTGATGCATGAATATGTTTTTTAAATTTGCTGACTTAATTCCAAATTGCATCTTAGCATTTTAAAATTATGTTTTTTCTTTCTGTTAATTGAATTTTGGGCATAGCCTTGTTTGACGTTTTTGGCCATTATGAATAATGCTTCTCTGAATATTTTTGTACACATTTTTGTGTGCCCTTTGTTTGTCCCTATTAATGGAGGAATGGGAATAAACTGGGATATTTGAAATCTAGAGAAAACCCCAAATCTAATTTATGTTTTAATCTTTGCCTTCACTTCCACTATTGAAAACAAATAGTAAAATAGATTGCATTTTATTTCCCCAGCCTAAAATTGAGACTCAAAGCTCCAGAGGAGGCTAAATGAATGAGAAAAGTCTGGGAACTAAATAACCAGCTTCTGGTAATTTGATAGATGTCTGTTTAAAAGAGCTTAAAAATTTATGTATTTCATGATCATTTATAAAATAATTTCTTAAAAGAGAGAACTTAACAATATTAATTTCACTTTCTCCCCTAATGTCTAAAGTGGCACTGTCAAAAGGAGATAAAACTTGTCAAAGTTCAGAATAATCATATTGTACTTGATAAATATATGCAATTTTTATTAATTAAAAAAATCTGAAAAATCTTGTTAAAGGAATGTAATGAGAAGCTTTGAAGTTTTAGGTTTCTAACTAAACAACTTATTAGTTGTTTTCTCCCCACGTATATAAAGACAAACCTTTTTGTTGCATTTTGTTAGAGGAGAGTTTGAATCATTGAATCATTGAAACTCTTTTCAGGTTCTTTTGGAAGCAGCACTTCTTTCCTTTTTCTTTTTAGTTTTTCTCAACTAAAACTATATGCTAAATTAAAAATTTCTCTAATACTATACTTTGAAGGAAAAAATGTATTCAAAACTTTCTACACAACAGGTGTTTTGTTGCTGATAAGTCAGGTTTTGGCACAAAGTATAGTGCCATTGATAATCAAGCTGAAAATGTTTTTCATTTCTGTTAAAATTGGACAGCAAAAATAATTTTGATAGCAGAAATCCACACCATTGCCTTTAATATGTAAAGACAATTGTTAGCCCTTAAAAAGATTATGCAACTTTAAAGAGGTATTGACCAATAACACTACAGTGGGGAAGTGTCTCAGTATGCTGCTGCTTTCTCAAAGGAAGAGTTGAGTACTAGTTTATAATATTCTTGAGAAAATCTGTATCAACACTGCACTATAGTAATCAAAATTGCTTTATATTTTTATATAAACCCAGGTTATTTAATTCAACAGTAAAAAATTAAAGGAATCAATTTCATAGGTAACAATTGTTTAAGGAGAAAAGTAAGCACAACATACTTGAGTTTAATACCTTATAAACCTCATTTTACATAGTAATCCCAGACTATATAAGATGTGGAGCATTTACCCAAAGATACCAAGTGTTCTTTAGTATATG